CACCACCACACCCCCTGGGCCCCCCAGCCCTGCGGGAGGCCTCGGCGGGGATCCGATCGCTCTGACTGCTTTCCGCCCTCATCCCCGCTCCCAGGTCCCCGAGAGCAGGCGGGGATGGCCTGGTTGTAGGTGGTTCTGGTCTGCTCCAGTCTCAGCTCTAAGCTCACGTTGGCCCATTGCAGCCCCCCGACCCCTGCTCCCCCCAGAGAAGCTGGGGGGCAGGAGAACTGAGTAAACCCGGTAACTAGAGGAGTCAGGGTGGTCCGACCCTGAGGCCAGCATCCCCAAACCCTCGTCCAGCCCTCCGCCCCCTCCCCAGCCCTGGCCAGGCTCAAAGACCGTGCCAACCCCCATTCAGGGCCAGCCTGTCGCAGGGACCGCGGCCCTCGGACTGTGCCTCCATCTGATCCCCTTTCCCCGCGACAGGGAGAAAGGGGGGGCTGTGAGAACATTCTGGGGGCGCGGTGGGCGGGGTGTGTGAAGCTCAGATCTTAGGCGGAGGAAGTGAAGGCACCTGCCCACCAGTGACCGCGCTGGGACTTGAACCTGGGCTGTCTGGCTGTTCTTATTTAACCATCACCATGTACCACTTCTCACCCAAGGGGAGAAGGAGGGAGGGTGACTGAGGCACAGGCCTCTGGAGGGGGAGGGACATCAGCTGTGTGCAGGCTGGGTGGGGGGGGCAGTCTCCAGGGCAGAGCAGTCAGGCTTTGAAGGAGCCCCAACTCAGGGGGTCCCTGACAACCCACATCTCCAGTGTCCAATTCCTGCCGGGTTCTGGAAGCCGGGAGGGTGTGCGGGACCAGCTGGTTGAAACGAGTCCGTTTATACCCGAGGGGACATCAGGCAAGGCGCTTTGCTCAGGGTTGCAGAGCCTGGATGCTGCTGCCTCCCAGTGAACCCGGGAGCAGAGCCTGGGCCGGGCACTGTCCCCAGCGTGGCCACGCCTCATTTGTGTGTAGTGTGGCTGCCGTTTGGACTGTGCTGCGTGCTCCTGTGTGGCGTGTTTCGGCCGTTCTCAGACTGCTGGCCACAGCTTTCCCTGTCCCCGAGGCCGGAGGCCGGGCCTGGTGCAGAGAAGGGCATGCTGGGCGAGGGGACCGGGGAGGGTCCCGGGAGGCTTGTGACCCAGCAGCAGGAGGGGTGCCGTGGGGTGGCCTTGGGACCTGAGAAGGACCAGCCTGGGGAGCCAGGCTGCTCTGAGATGCTCATCGAGCACTGGCCTCTGTCCTGATGGATGCAAGACCAGCCCTGAGGCTGAGCCCTTGTCCCCCAGGGAGGAGAGCGTGTGACAGGAGCAGGGGCTTTGGCCACAGCATGGGTTTGGGGTGACCCTCCTGACGAGAATTGGGTTTGGAAAGTGATTTGGTCGGGGGGGAGGGAGGGGGGCGTTGCGAGCTCAGCACAGAGATGGAGGGGACGCCAGGAGAGGGCCCCTGTCTGGAGGGCCGCGGTGCTCCGAGCCTCAGGCAGGGCCAACCTGGCTTTCCCACTGGTGCTGCCACCTGGGCCACCTGGGGGGCAGGTCCACTTTTCTCCCCTTTGTACAGCTAAGGAAGAAGGCTCCCTGCCCTCGGCACCCAGCTGTTAAACCGCAGCCGCCTCCGCCAGCTTCAGCTCCCGGCCCAGCCTCGAGCTGCCTGCTCCGGGCCCAGGCAGCCTGTGGCTGTCAGCACCAGCACAGGGGGAGCCCACACTGCAGCCTGCCCCTGGGCGCACCCCCCTGCTGCTCTGCAGTGCGCCCATGCTCGGGACCTCAGGGACCACCCACAGCACCCAAAGGGGTTTCCTGGGTTCTCCACGTTGTCATGTTGGGAGGCCCAGGGGATGCAGCTTCAGGTTAAACAGTAGAGCCTTGTCCTGGCACCAGAGTCCTGTTTCCGCCCAGCGCTCTCCAAGCTCTCCCTGTGCTGCGCTCTCCGGCTGCGGGACAGGCTCCCAGGGCGCACGCTGGGTGGTCCCCCTCGGCCCAGCAGCCCCGCCTGTTTGAATGCCATCTGTTCCTGTCGCCCTGCTGGCCAGCAGACCTGTTCTTTAGGGTGACAGCAGATGCTCCACTTTTTGGCTTCTCTTCTGTGGCATCTGTCACCAGCTGCCCCGTGAGGTCGCCGTTCTCATCCTGTGTCCACCTTCCCTCCCCAGGGTGTGTTCAGGCCTGTGGAGGATGGTCCAGAGCTGCCGCCCCTGCTCCTGAGGGACCCCTGCCCCCACTGCTTCGGGCTCCCTTGGGCCCCCCAGAGCCAAGAGCTGAGCACAGAGATAGTGTAGTGGGAGCCGGGCGAGCACCTCCAGGCCTCCCGTCTGCCCAGCTGCTGGGCCCGCGCTGCCTCGTTCTGTCCTGTCACGTCAGACCTGCGCTGGGAGTGGGTGGTCCCAGAGTCCTGCTGGGGCGGGGGTTTTGGCTTGGGGAGGAGTGGGTTGGGGGTTTATGGGGGTCATTTCCCTGAGCAAGAGCGGGACAGGGCTAAGCTGGCATGGAATAGATGGACCCAGATGTCTTACAGCAGGCCAGGTGGAGGTGGGTGTAGCCCCGAGGACACCATTCCCATTCGCCCACATGTCTGACGCAGGGGGGCCAGTGCTGGTGTTGGGGGGCTGCGATTCACCCAGCTCCCATCGCTTTGCCAGCTCATCTGCGGCTCACAGGCCTGCGAACCCCAGGGACAGCCCCGAGGCGCTGTGGGAGATGACTCCTTGACCTGTGGACCTCCACCTGCCACGGTGGCCCCTCCCCCACTCGCACGCTGGGCAGGGATCACCAAGGGCTGAGAGTGACCGGAGCTGGAGCCGCTATCCCCAGGGACCAGGGCTAATCCTCCTCCCTTCCTGCCCCCGGCTTCCAGGCCAGGCGCATTTCCCTAGCAACAGAGCTGGAGGTTCCTGGGGGAAATGGTGGCTTCTGGGTGGGAGGGGCTTCGAGGCTGGCTCCCAGGGCCGAGGCTGCAGTTCCTGCGCGCCCCCCCTCCCCCCCTGCTACCGTCCCCTGGGCTGGCGTCTTTGTCCCCTTCCCCATCTCTTTATTAACGTGCTGCCAGCTCTTCTGCTTGGCTGCAGTCCCGAGGCCGGTGTGGGGTGATGGGGTTGTGGGGTGAAAGGGCTGGAGGGTCCCAGAGGCAGATGAGAGGTCACCTGCCTGCATCGTTACCACTGGGACCCCCTCTTCCCCCCGCACAGTTACAGGGGAGCCTGTGAAGCAGGTGCTGATTAACAGAAAGCCCAGGGCTTCGTTCCCGGGGGTGCCGAGTGCTGGCACCTCAGCGAGCAGGGGCGTCCACACCTCCTGCCAGGGCTGACCTCCTCCTGCCAGGCTCTTCGCCTGAGCCCACGAAGCTGTCCGCGTGCTGTGCGGTGGCTCCCTCAGCTCCCTGGCCCTCAGCTCCCTGGGCCTCGGGGAGGGATTGTCATGACCCCACTGGCCAGATGGGCAGGATGACTTCCCCAACAGCCATACCTGGGACCGCAGTGCTGCTCCCCGGGCCCTGCCTCTGCTGTGGACAGGTTGACATAGCGGCCCCTTGTCCATTGTGAGGGCTTTCAGAGCTGGGCCAGGGTGCGGGCTGCAGTACAGGGGCGATCCCTGGTTCTGTCTCCTCTGTCCATCTCTGGCTTGGGGGAGAAGTGGTTTGAGGGGTTTCTTGGGGGGCACTTCCCTGAGCCGCCTCCTCTCTCCGCCCACCCCCTGTAACTACCCTGTGGGGCGTTTTGGCCAGGCACAGTTACGCACTCCCCAGTTACAGGTGGTAAGACTGAGGCTTGGAGAACTGTTGTACCCGTGTGGTCAGGGGCAGGGAGGGCAGGAGGCAGCTGCATGTCAGGAGTGGGACCTGCTCTCAAGGGGCAGGATAGTGATAGAGCTGGCCCTTCACGTGGCAAAGCACCTTTGTGTGGCTAGATCAGCCGTGGGCAAACTACGGCCCGCGAGCCGAATCCGGCCCGTTTGAAATGAATAAAACTAAAAAAAAAAAAAAAAAAGACCGTACCCTTTTATGTAATGATGTTTACTTTGAATTTATATTAGTTCACACAAACACTCCATCCATGCTTTTGTTCTGGCCCTCCGGTCCAGTTTAAGAACCCATTGTGGCCCTCGAGTCAAAAAGTTTGCCCACTCCTGGGCTAGATCCTTGTGATGCACGATCCCCGAGATGCTGTGACCCCACACTTTGCAGACGTGGCCCCAGGGAGGCAGGAGGAATGGAGGGAGGACAGGCAGGGCCGAGCAGGAGAGGAGGAACTCCGGGGCTCACAGCCAGCAGTGGCTCCTGGAAGCTGGGGGCTGTGCCACCCTGTGGGCAGTAGAGTCATCTGTGTGGTGTGGCCTCACTCCAGCCGGGTCCGAACGGCATCCCCAGAGCTGGAGGTGGCCTAGCCAGGACCCCAGGGCTCAAGCAGCTGCCTCCCGTCATCTGCTTGTGTCTAGATTCCGAGGACCAGAGGTTTGCTGGGCAGTTGCTGCACACACACCCCCATCACACCCACAGCCAACGAGGTGGCGGGAGGGGCCCGGCCCACAGATCCCTGGTCTCTGGGCTGGGATTACCCTGCAGGCAGCACCTGTCACCGCATGTGTGCTGTCTGCGTGTTCCCTCCGCCAGGAAGGGCTGGCCCCAGCCCACAGCTGCTCTAATCCCCGCCCCTTCTCCTCCCTGGAGGCTCTGGGAGCACCATTTCCGCAGCCTGGGAACAGGCCTCACAGGGAGGGAGCCAGGGCTGGGCTTGTGGCCTGACCAGCGTGAGCCCCTGGGCGCTAGCGGCGGGTGGCCCTGGGTCCCCTCGTGGGCGTGCTATGCCCAGGGACCTGGTGAGTGGCGGGACCTGGAGGGCCGAGGAGAAGCCCAGGAGCTGGTCCTCCTGGTGCTGCCTCCCGCGCTCCTTCCTGGTCCCCGTTGGGCGCAGGCACAGAGGTCTTCGCTGACTCGACTCTTCCCTGTGCTCAGGACGAAGCCGACACACACCACTGTCAACTGCTGGTTCTGCGCCCAGGACACGGTGGTGCCCTACGGGAACCGCAACTGCTGGGACTGCCCCCACTGCGAGCAGTACAACGGCTTCCAGGAGGTGCGGGGGCCCCAGCCCTTGTCCAGCCGTCCTGCCCCCTCCCCACAGCCTGGGGGACCCAGGTGACTTGCCCAGAGGCACACCACCAAAGTCCGCAGGTTGGGGCTGAGCCCCGGATCTTTCTGGCTCATGCTCATGCCCACTCTCTCTTTGCACTTGACCAGGGGTCAGCGGGCTCCCTGCAGAGAACCAGGGAGGCTCTAGGCTTTGCGGACCACACTGTCCCTGTCCCCAGGACTCAGCTCTGCCAAGCCACCATCACTATAGGAACCTGGTTCACAGACACAGCCCCCACTATGTGCCCTTGTTTGCAGGCCTCTGCACCATGCATGGGTCTGGTCTGGGCTGCGCTCCCTGGGGCTGCACTCGGCAGCTTGCCTGTGGGGGTTCCTAGTAAATTCTGTGGAGGACAGCAGCTGATTGTTGCATGGAAAGAGAATGGGGACATGCGAAGCTGCTCCACTGGGGTGTCACCGCCCCGGGCCTCTGGCCTCACTCAGAGCCAGCCCCCTTTGGGTCGTGCTCCCCGCTGATTCTGTCTCTCCGTCCCACCCCCCAGAATGGTGACTACAATAAGCCGATCCCTGCGCAGTACCTGGAGCACCTGAACCACGTGGTGAGCAGCGCGCCCAGCCCCCGCTCCCCTGCGCAGCCACAGCAGTGGGTGAGCAGCCAGGTGCTGCTGTGCAGGAGGTGCAGCCACCACCAGACCACCAAGATCAAGCAGCTGGCCGCCTTCTCGCCTCGGGATGAGGTGAGGCTGGGACGGGGAGGAGGAGCCTGGGGGAGAGTGGGGAATGCCCCGGGCTCTCCAGACAGTGCCCGCAGGGCCTCTCCCACCCTGACCTGTGCTGGCCCCCCTCCGTGTGTGTCATCTCGTCGGAGCCTCGTTCTCCCTCCTTCTCATGGTCCCTGCTCTCTTGGCTCCAAGCCTGGGAACATCATGGAAACCTAGTGCCTGCCAATCCCGAGGGGTTTGTCCCTGGGCAGGGGCAGGGGCAGGTGGCTCCACTGGGCCCTGTCAGACCCACCCTGCCCCTGTCCCTGAGTCAGGCTTGCCCGCCGCTGGCCGGACTCTCTGCTCCGGAGTCGGTGGAGGGGAGGGAGGCTGGGTGTTAGGCGTTCACCTCCCCCGGGCCGCCGTGGAGCCCAGCAGCCTGTCCTCTAGCTAGTCCTGCCTTCCCACCCCCAGGCCGGTGGTTGTGACCTCAGGAGCTGAGGCCCTGAGATGCTGGCTTTCCCAAGGCCCAGCCTGGGAATGGGGGGGAAGAGGGGGGAGAAAGAGGCATGTGTGACTTGGCAACCAGGGCAGCTTTTGGTCCCAGCAAGATATGATCAAACGATAACCCCGCTGGCCCCTGCAGACAGATGTTTGGGGGCCCTGGGAACAGAGAGGAGCGTTGCTGCATCCTTAGGGGGAGGGGAGGAGAGGGTTGGACTGTCCTCAGGCTGTTCCTGGAGCCCAGGGACCCCGCAGCTCCCACTCGGCCCAGCCAGGGGCCTCTCGTGCTCTCTAGACCCAGGGCTTACCAGTGGGCGGCCCTGCCTCTGAGTGTCTGTCTGCTCCAGTCCAGATAGCGTCAGCCCAGAGCCCCCTCTGTGGCCTCCTCTGGAGTAGAACTGGCCGGAGTGCCTGCCTCCGTGCCTGTGGGTCCTGCTGCGTCCTGGGCTCTGGGCCAGCCCTTTCTCCCGGTGGCCACGCACTCGGGGTGCTGTTTGTCCTGTTGGGCAGTGGAGGAGGCAGGGTCAGAGTGGGGACAGCTTGCCCATGGTCACCCCACTTGTAAGTGAACCCAAGAACCTGAGCCCCTGTCCCCGGCCCGCAGGGCAGGTATGACGAGGAGATCGAGGTGTACCGGCACCACCTGGAGCAGATCTACAAGCTGTGCCGGCCGTGCCAGGCGGCCGTGGAGCACTACCTCAAGCACCAGAACCGCCAGCTGCGCGCCCTGCTGGTCAGCCACCAGTTCCGGCGCCGGGAGGCCGACCAGAGCCACACGCAGGTCTGAGCGGTGCGCCCACGGGGCATTTGGGCGTCACAGCCCTCGGGCTTGTGCAGGAAAGCCCCCCACAGAGGGCTGGGCCCACTGACTGGTGGGCAGCTCTCCAGAGCCAAGACCCTTCTCCCTGGGAAACCACCTTCCTGTGGGGCCCTGTCCCCAAGCCCCTTGTGTCAGCAGCTGGAGAGGGTGTCCCCAGAAGAGTGGCTCAGTATTGGGGTCCACCCATCATTTGCATACTTGACGGTCTTGAGCCCCGATGTGTCTGGGCACTTTCCCTCACCTGCATCTGTCCCCCTTGCCTGCATCCATTCCCCACACCTGGCATTTCCCCCAAGCACCGTGTGGCGGCCGCACTCTTAGGCTCTGCGACGCCCACCCACAGCCAAGAACCCGAACGGGGAGGTGAGGTAACTTGTAGAGGGCCCCACACCACGTGTGCCAAGGCACCAGCATTTGAACCTGGAACCAGTTGGTTAAAAGTCATTAATTTTTTAAAAATATATATTGATTGATTTCAGAGAGGAAGGGGAAAGGAGCAAGAGATACAAACATCAATGATGAAAGAGAATCATAGATCAGCCTCTGCACACAGAGAATTGAGCCCGCAACCTGGGCATGTGCCCCACCAGGAGTCGAACTATAACTTCCTGGTTCATAGGTTGACGCTCAACCACTAAGCCATGCCAGCCAAGCTAAAAACTCATTCATTTTTTATCACAGTATTCAGTTAGTGGAATGTTCTGGGTTTTAAAGATCTGATTTAGTGGTGAGTGGCTTTAGAGATAACCCACCCCCTCAGGTCCCCAGATGTGCCTTGTGTCCAGTGGCATGTGGTTTCCAGTCCGCAGCCGGCTCCTGACCACACGGCCACGCAGCCCGTGTTTGCACAGCAGGACGCTCGGACCTGTGGCTTTTCTCCTCACCGCGTGTTCCTACACTGAACAGCTTATTGCCATAGTTTTAAACTTACCTTTGGCCAGAGTTATTTATATGTTTATTATAATTCCAGTTGAGATTCCAGTAGGAATTTATGGTGAGAATTTGGCAAAAACAATGAAAAATGTATTAGAAAGAATAAGGTCACTATAATATCAAAAAGCTTTCTTTAAAGAATGTGGTGGACCCTCCCCACCAGTAGGGTGAAGACCCAACCGTGGGCCGGGTCAGTGGGTCTGGCGGTGAGCCTAGAGACGGCCGAGAAGGTCCAGGGATCTCGGGCCTGGCCACGACGGCATCTCCGATCATCAGGTCCGGGTGGGTTCTTCAGCGAGTGCTCTGGGACCCTGGCCAGACCCCGAGCACAGAGTGCACAGTGGCAGTGGCTCTTGCTATCGCTGACCAGTCTCTCTCTCTCCCCCTCAGAGCTTCTGCTCGTCCGCGGTGAAGGCCCCCGTGCAGGTCATCGTGCTCCGCGCCCTCGCCTTCCTGGCCTGTGCCTTCCTGCTGGCCACCACACTGTATGGCACCAGCGACCCCTTTGCCCCGGGGGTCACCCTGCCCCCCGCTTTGCCCCCTGGTGGCAATGGCTCGGCAGCTCCTGACAACGGCACTGCCCCTGGGGCTGAGGGCTGGCGGCAACTGCTGGGCCTGCTGCCGGAGCACATGACAGAGAAGCTGCAGGAGGCCTGGGCCTACGGGCGGAGCCACCAGATGGGCGTTGTGGTGCTGGGCCTGCTCACCTGCCTGCTGGCCATGCTGCTGGCCGGCCGCATCAGGTGCGTGTGGGGCTGGAGCCAGGAGGGCCTGCTGCGCGCACAGCTGGGACTGGGCTCCATTGTGTAGTGGGAACAGCTGTCCCTCCTCCCAGCAGCTGGGAGTCCAGCGGGCGAGACAAAGTAAATGACTTGCCTTAGCGGGGGCAGCGGCGCTCAGAACAGGCCCCCACTGACGGCTGCTGGTTGGGGCCGCCAGGGCCAAACTGCCTCACTTCTCCACCTCAGGCTCTGATACCACCAGCCTAGTGGGCTGTTGGAGAGTCGAGTGGGTGCCCTTGGGCCCCTGATTTCCCTCCATGTTCCAATTAGTGTCCACGTCATCTCAGTGACTCTGAGGGAGGTTTCTTTTTTTCTTTTTAAAATATATATTTATTTCAGAGAGGGAGGGAGATAGAAACATCAATGATAGAGAATCGTTGATCCGCTGCCTCCTGCACTCCTCCTACTGGAGATTGAGCCTGTAACCCAGGCATGTACCCTGACTGGGAATCAAACCGTGACCTCCTGGTTCATAATACTGAGCCACACTGGCGGGGCACTCCACTCTACCTTCTTTCTCACTCTCGTCCTCAGCATGCCTATGACCCTGAGACAAAAAGTTGTCTTCTCTTTTTCAAACTATAAGTTCCTTTATGACAATAGAAGCTTAATAAATACATTTTTTTTTTCGCCCCTGCCGGCCTGATCGCCCCTAACCGCCTCTGCCTTGGCCCTGCCACCATGGCTTTGTCCAAAAGGACATCCAGAAAGTTGTCTGGAAGTTGTTTGGTCTAATTAGCACATTACCCTTTTATTAGTATAGATTTATTTCAGAGAGGGAGGGAGATAGAAACATCAATGATAGAGAATCGTTGATCCGCTGCCTCCTGCACTCCTCCTACTGGAGATTGAGCCTGTAACCCAGGCATGTACCCTGACTGGGAATCAAACCGTGACCTCCTGGTTCATAGGTCTATGCTCAACCACTGAGCAACACTGGCCGAGCTGGGGGAGGTGTCTTAGCCCCGTTTCACAGGCTGGAACATTGAGCTCAGGGAACCTGACCTGCTCAGAGCTGAGCAGCGTATAAGTGCTGGAGGCGGGTCGAGAGGCACATGTGCTCTTGGCTCTGGATTCTGTCCTCTAAGCAGGACGGGGTGGGGGAAGGGGCAGCGAGTGGGAGGGTGAGGGGACTAGTCTTGGCGAGATGGGCCCTCACACAGCCCCGCTCTCCCTCAGGCTCCGGAGGATTGACGCCTTCTGCACCTGCCTGTGGGCCCTGCTGCTGGGTCTGCACCTGGCCGAACAGTACCTGCAGGCCAGCTCGCCCAGCTGGCTGGACACGCTCAAGTTCAGCACCATGTCCCTGTGCTGCCTGGTGGGCTTGATGGCAGCCGTGGCCACAAGGAAGGCGACGGGCCCACGGAGGTTCCGGCCCCGAAGGTCAGAGAAGCAGCAGTGATTGCGGGGGGAGGACAGATGGACAGACAGCCCCAGAGCTTTGCCCCCAGCCCAGAGCAGGGCACTTCTCGGTCTTGCCTCTTTCTTCCTGCCTCACTCTCACCCCTGCCCAGCCTCGAGCCCCTGTCCTGGCCCAGCCCTGCACTTCCCTGAGGAGTCGGGCCTGCCCCCTTTTCTTTCCACACCAGTAAGTCCTCTCCCAACCTAGGGCACTCTCGGGTGCCACCATCTCTCTGGCCAAAAACTCTCTCGTTGCCCCAAGGCTAGAGCACGGGTGACACCCACACAGGCTGCCTGTGACCTATGGCTTCCACCTGGCAGCTCCAGGCATCCCGTCCTGCCACAGCCCCTGCCACATCCCATCCTGCCACGGCCCCTGCCTGGCTCTGACACCATGGGATGAGGCTACTGTCTGCTTCTTGCACCGGCCCCATCTCTGAGCTCCTGGCACGGGCTGGTGACGGTGGCCGCAGGCTGAGCCCTTGCCACATGGCCTGACCCCTTGGGCATCTTGACACAGGCAGATGCTGCTGAGCGGGGCCCAGAGGAGAGCCCCGCGCCTCGTCCCCATGTCCTTTCTCTGGTCTGTCCCTTTGGTCCTGCCCAGTGCCCGGCCAGCCCTGCTGGAAACCGTCTGGGCTGCCCCCTGGGCCCACTGCCCCATTCCCACTAAGACCTTTCTGCACCCCTCTCGCCGGGTCCAGTTCTTGTGCCCACACTGGCCTTAACCATGAGTTTGTAGGGCAAGGGCCTTCTCAAGGTGGACAGTAGGAAATCCTGCGTCTGCTGTGGTCAGCAGGGCTCTGGACAGCCAGCCATGATGGGAGCTTGCCCGGGTTGGGGGGATCTGGAGAGTCCTGTATTCATCTGTTTGGCACGGCTGTGGGCCACACAGGCAGAATAGGGCACGCACACCCTGCCCACTCTCATGTGAGCCCCTGGCTCTGCCCTGGAAAGTCAGGACCCCAGCCCTCATGGCTGGGCCCTCCACCTGCCCCTGCAGGGTTCAGGCTTCCAGGCCAGGGCTGCCCTGACTGGCTGGCCCTGCCACTGCCCCGATCGATGCCCGGGACGTCCCCAGTTCTCTCTCCCCTCCATTGGATGCCTGGGAAAGATCTCGTTGCCCAAGGCTAGCACGGGGTAAACAGCCCAGGGATGTACAGGTCCATGAGGGCACCAGGTCATTGTCATTTTATGACTCTCTTGCCTGTCACAGTCACTACTCCTCTGGCCCCTAGAGCCCTCACGGAGGGTGCTGAGGCTCCCAATTTCTACTTTCCTGTGGGGCAGCCAGAGTCCACAGAGGCCTCGGCGGCTCCTGGGCTGGGGGAGGGGACAGCCAGGCCGAACAGAGTGCGCTACCCACTCCCTCCAGGGCCCGTGTCCTGCCCTCTGCACGTTAGAGCCCAGGGAAGGCAGGAACAGGTGACACAGCATGAGGGCCACTCAGCAAGGGGCCCCTGACCACAGAGCCTGCGGGGCAGGGGGCACAGGCCCTGGCTAGACCTGAGTGAGGTCCCGGGGGCACAAGAGCTGCACCTGAGCCCGCTGTCACTCATCCTCATGTTCGCGGGGTCCTAAGAGGCTGCCCCACCCCACTGATCCCGTGCCCCTCCACATCCATATGTGAGGAGCCAGGGAGTCAGGAGCTGCCCCCAGCAGCTGTGTGGCCTCAGGCAGGCCTGCCCGCTTGTTGCGTGTGGAGGGAAGTGGGTGAGGAGTGGAAATGCAGAGCCGGGACCTAGTCCTGCTGGCGCGTCCGCCTGTCCCATCCCAGCCGGCCTCTGAGGCAGGGGAGGCGGCACTGCAGTGAGAGCCAGGGCTGTGCTGGGCTGTGCGCGGCCCTCGTCTCTGGAGCCTCCTGTTCTCAAGGAAGCTAATGACTGCTTTTCTTGGCGCTGAGGAGAAGCAGGACATCTGTGTGTGTGTGTGTGTGTATTTAAGTTAAGTTATTTATAATCACCACAACCAGCTCCCTAGCTGGCCGGGAGCCCGCGCTGAGCAGATGTCTGCCTGCCCCGGCGGGGATGGGAGGACCCTCATGAAATGAGCCTCAGCCGGGAAGGCTTCCTGGCCCTTTTAGAGTTGGTGACTTTTTAAATTACCCATCAGTCCCCTAAAGTTTCATTACTTGGAGCCTATTCCAGCCCCTTCTGACGTTAGCGGCAACAGCTGAGGAAGTGCAGGCATCACTGAGATAGTGGTTTACTAGCTGGGAGTATGTCACCCCTGCCAGGGACCTCTGTCCCCAAGACCTGAGGGAGGTACACGCGCTGTCTTCTCCCTCTGGGTCTGGGTCCCCACCCGGGCCCAGCAGGCTCCTCCCAGGAGCGCTCCGCCTCGCAGCACCGGCCCGGGAGGAGCGTGTCCCTCTGTCCGTGCCTGTTGCCGTGTCGTCTGTCCCTGGTCGTGTAGAGCTGCAGATGATTGTCTGGTGGCCCTCGCATCCCTGTAACCGCAGCTCCCGGCCGGACGTTGTGTTCGATGCTGTATTTTAAATAAATGCCTCCGGGGCCCTGCTCTGACCCGTGGGCGTCAGGTATGGAGTCTTTTTTGTTTTTTCTTTCTGAGGCGTCTGTGCCAGGGGCGGGACTTGGGGGTACAGGCGAGCCCCGGGAGTCAGGCTTGGGAGCTGGCGACGTGGAAATGGAAGGACACAGGGCCCAGCTGTCCTTGTGTGCCCTGCCGGGTGGGGTTTTCCCCATCTCAGCAAACTGCTACTTAAATAGCTTGCTCCTTCCCCTCTCGGCGTGGACTGGGGTTGGGTTGAGAGAGGCCAACGTCCCTCCCTGTCCGATGGGACACTGTACAAGCACCCGGCCCTCCTCAGACCCCTTTCTCCGGGGACGTAGACTCAGATTCCAGGCTGGTGCCTCTGGAGAGGGGTCAGAGCGCGGGCGGTCTGGGCGCCTGGCCAGTGGAAGTGTCCGCTCATTTGAAGCTCTCGGGAGACGGCCCTTTAACAGGAGGCTCCCAGGAACCGGGCTGCAGTCGGGACCAGAGCTCACACTCGGCACCTTACAAGGATCCGCTAGCTGAGAGGGTCAGACCGAAGAACTGTCTCCCCCTCCGTGCCAACGTTTTTAGTGGCATCAGAGACGGGACAGCCCCTGTGCCAGATCATGCGAGACGGGTCTTCGGCACGGGGCGGGGTCGTGGAAAGTGCTGGCAAGACCCAGCTTGTCCTGGGCCAGCTGGCCACCTGGGAAACCTGTCGCCCAGCTCAGACCCTCTCCTCTCTGCCTTGGGGGTGAGGGGGTGCAGGAAGCCCCAAGGGAGTCCTGGTGCATCTGCTGGAGGGGCCTGGGCGCGCCCTGCTCCTCAGCAGCTCAGGACACACCTGGGTCCTCTTGGAGGCCCAGGCCCAGCAGGGAACAGCTTTATACCCCATCAAAGCAGGTTGCCAAAGGTCCCGGCGTCCTTTGCTGCCTCTACACACCTAAAGCTCCCCCTTCTGCCACAAAACCGTAAAATCGTACCTTCTATTTTGGGGGGTGGAGGAGAGGCTTCAGGACAGGTTGGCAGGTGGGGGCTGGGGCGAGCGGCTTGGCTTGAGCTCCTGCCTTGATTTCCCCATGCTCCCCGCCTTGGGTTCTGAGTCCAGGAAGCCTGCTGGCACCCCGGACAGCATTCAGAAGGTCACGTGATCTCCAGGAGGGCAATGCTGACCCTGCACTTTCCTCAAAGCTTGTTGAAGGGGCGGGGTGAGAACTAGCGAACTCCTCGGGGTGCAGCTTGGCTAGCGATGGGTCTGGGGGGTCCCTTAGCCGCCCGGGCTCTGCTGCAGGGCCTGGCCAGCCTGCCCATCCGTCGGCACACTGACCGTGGGCTCCTTTGTCCCTGGGGACCGAGGTAAGGCCGGACCTCCCGCATCTCCGTCCAGACAGTGAGCAGACTAATGTATTAACTGCCTCCGTCCCGCCTCTGTAATCGGTTGCCTTAATCGGAAGCATGGTTGACATTCTGGCTTGGGGCCACCAGGCCCTGTTGTGTGATTTGTACCATCTCGAGTTAAAGGGACACTGTCACCTTCCATCTTTGGGGCGGCCTTGTGGTCGCTTACGGGTCTTCTCCAAGTTCAAGTTGGGCTTGTGTCCTGCGTGTCTCTTCCTGGGGACCCTCAGCCTGGCCACCCCCCTCTGCTCTACAAGACACTTGAGGTTAATGTCCGTTTTTTGAGCCCAGGGGTCAGCAGTCGGACCCCCGGAGTCAGGCCCAGGGAGCAGGGCCCCAAGCTTGGCCACGTCGGGAGGCTCTGGGCACGAGCAGGAAGGACAGGAGGAGCCCCAGGCCACTGGCCGCTATGAGAGCCTGGCAAGGGGCTGGGCATTTTTGCTTCAAGGCAAAGGGGTGGCATGAGGTTGGCAAGGGCGACAGTGTCACTTTAATACCGAGACTCGTAGTGGAACTAGTTTGCTGTGACAGATCGGAGGGGGCATGCGGGGCGGTGGGTCACGCTGCACCTCCCAGCCACCCGACCCTAATGGTGTGAATGGTCGGACTGCTTTCCGCTTCAACTAACGCACGCCTCCTCTGGGACCCCGACTCGGGCCCCCTGTGCCGAGGGCGAGGGGACGGCTGGCGGAGGCCGCTCCCGGGCCCTCCAGGCTGACCTCTCCCTGCCCGCGGCCTCTTGCAGGTACCTCCCGGGAGACCCGGCCGGCCTTCTCCCCACGTGCCCCGGCCTGGCCATACCCTACCCGAGCGTCACAGCCTCTTCACCGTCTCTCTTCCTCCCCACCTCGCCCGGCTTCCTGCCCCTCACCAACCAGCAGCTGTTCCGGTCTCCCCGACGGGCCTCGCCCTCCTCGCTGCCAGGCCGCCTCAGCCGGGCCCTCTCACTGGGCACCATACCCTCTCTGACCCGAGCAGGTAAGAGGCACTCAGGCATCGGCCGGCCACGCGGGACTGGGGGCAGCTGGGCACCGGGACTCCAGCTGTGTACAGGCCGTAGTAACTGGGTTCAAATCCTGCCTCATCCACTAATGAGCTGCCCTTCGCCCAGGGACTTACCCACTCTGAGCCTCAGTTTCCCTCAAGAAAATAGACCAGTAGTAGGACCGGCCCCGTGGTGGTTGTGAGAGAAGCGAGAGGATGTATTTAAAGTGCTCAGGAGGGCAATGCATCCAGCAGGCGCTCGGTAAACGGAGCCCTTCGCGGGGTTTATTCCGCCTATTCTTGCCCTGTTGTTACTCCTGCTGTTTTCACACCTGGGGCTGGAAGTTTGCCCCAGCCGTTCCATGTGGTCCAGGGGACAGAGGGCAGGATTCAGTTCAAGTCCGTCTGAGTGCTTGCTGCCGTGGGCCCTGCCGTGACCGCCACCTGGTCCTGGTCACGGGCGCTGTCTCACTCTTCACCTTCCCCTAAGGCCCGTCCTGGAAAGGGGACTGAACTCAGCCGTTTTCCTGCTAGAGCTCTGCGTGCTCCATGGTGACCCTCAGCCCTGGGGGAGCTGCCTGGAGCAGGCTGGGGGTTGCCCTTGGGTGGGGGGGCGGGCCCTGAGCAGGACCCCATCTTCTGAGAATGTGGATGCCTCTTGGTTCCCCAGGGCTTGCTGACGTGCAGTCATGTCTCATTTCAGCAGCTCTGCCAAGTGGGTCAGTCAGACACCCCTCTGAGCCTCCGTTTCCTTTGTGACTTGCCCGGGGTCCCACTGCTGCTGGCGGTGGGGGTTGAACCCAGCTGGGGATTGGTGCAGGTGGGGTCCCGGTCGGTAGAGGGTGGGCCACAGGGACGGTGTTTGGGCGAGGCCTTCGGGTCGGAGCGAAGGTGGGATTGCACCGTGGCCTAGACTCTGGACATTTCTCTTAACCTCACGGGCGGGGCGCTGGGGGAGGGGCTGCTGCCTGCGCTCCTGCCTGGAAGCCGCTGATGGGCAGAGTTCCTGACTCCCTGTGCGGTCACAGCCCTGGCCCAGCCCAGCTCAGGCCTCCTGGCCCTTTGTGCACAGCCGCTGGGGCAGGGGGACCACAGGGGCCCACGGCTGCCCTTCCCCACAGGACTGTTGTCTGGAGCTGCCCGCCAGGGGTGGGAAGTGGTGGGTTTGGGCCCACGGTGGTGCGGATCCCAGAACCATCTGGAGGGAGAGAGTTGCGGACGGCGTGGGGTGGGCACTGCGTCCTGGTTTATCCTTCAAAAAGGAAATGACTCGGGTTAAAGGGCCCTCGGTGAGAGGCAGGGCTGTGAGTGACAAGGGCTGGATGCGGCAGAGCAGGCCATGGGGCTGGAGGGTGGATGCCCGGCGCTCGGCAGGCCTGACCTGTGCCCTTCCTTCCCTCCCAGACTCAGGGTATCTGTTCAGCGGGAGCCGCCCGCCGTCTCAGATGTCTCCATCCGGAGAGGCTCCTGTTTCAGGTAAGAGGAGTGACGGGGAGGCTGCCTCTGGTGGGGCAGCGTGTGGGCCAGGGTTTTCAGAGGGTCAGGCAGGGGCACCCCTGTGTGTAGGCCCCTGTGTGCAGCCCCTGTGTGCGGGCCCCTGTGTGCAGGCCTGGGCAAGTGACTGGCAGCCCTGTGCCTCCATTTCTCCTGTGAAATGGGCGATCGTTAGGGTGAGATGGAATGCTCTCGTCCTCATCCGTGACCACGTGGGGATGCGCACTCGGGGGAGCTGACCTTAAGCCTCAAGAATTGGTTGCTGCCCCGGCCTTGCTCTCAGCTGAGGGCAGAACCAGGGCCTTTGGAGAGAAATCACGAGGCAGAGGGGACATGGCTGAGGTTCCGCGGTCCTCTCCCCACCCGTGGGCCTGGCGGACGCAGGCTCCTCCCCGCTCTGCCCAGCCTGGCCTTTCTCCTGGGGTAACGGGAACAGAAGAGCCGTCAAGCTGACTGTAACTGCACGTGCAGACTTCCCCTCACAGTCGCGGGTGCCTGCGCTAAGGCACAGTGTCTGTCACCTCCACCCTCCAGATTACTACTCTCTGCTGCTGGGGAGCTGCCCCTCGTCCCCGTTCCCGTCCCCGGCGCCCTCCGTGGCCGGCTCGGTGGCCTCCAGCGCCGGCTCCCTGCGCCACCGCAGGCCCCTCATCAGCCCTGCCCGGCTCAACCTGAAGGGGCAGAAGCTGCTGCTGTTCCCGTCGCCGCCCGGGGAGGCCCCCAGCACCCCCAGCAGCTCCGATGAACACTTGCTCCTCAACGGCAGCCACTTCAGCATCGAGCCACCCCAGGTCCCACAGAGGCAGCCGGCGCAGGACACGAAGCACACCGTGGGTATGACCCTCTGATCCCTGCCCTGGGGGCAGGAGAGCCCAGCTGGGCTGTGGGGGTGCCTCTGGGATCAGCGCAGTGGTGGGGACCCCTTTAGGAGGCTGCACAGAGCCTGTCCTTGATCTTCTCCCCAGCTCCATGGCCCCTGGCTGGGCTTCTCATGACCTTGAACCCTCCAGGACATTGCTCTCTGTTGGCTGATATTCTTCTCTTGTTTGGCAATTGACCTTGAGGCTGTTCTGTTCCTTAGGATGGATCGGAGACGTATTATGCCCTGCCAGACTGTCTGATAACAGATTTTTTTTTTTTTTTGCTCAAGTATTGTCTGACTGTCCTGTCCTGGGGTGGCCTGTGAGCACCCCCTGAGACACCCCTTCTCTGCAGACATGAGGTCCATGCGGGAGAGAGGCAACGCCTGCAGCAGCCACTCCATCAAGAAGGAGGATGACTCGTCGCAGTCGTCCACGTGCGCGGTGGACACCACCACCCGAGGGTGCCCCGAGGAGACCACCTGGAGAGGTCTGCGCCTGAGTTGTTTGCGGGGAGGGCAGAGCAGCATGGGGCCTCAGTGTCAGCCAGAGTCACCCGTTCTGTCCAAGGCCTGACAGAGGAAGACCCTCGAGGGGCCCCCTAGTGACGGAGGGCGGTCAGGTAACCCGCCCAGCACCTCGGGATGCAGTCCGTGCTCCGCAGGCTCCCTCCCTGTTAGGGCCAGGTCTGCACGCTGTGACGGTAGCCTCGGGTCACATGGTCACAGGCGGCTATTTAAATCTTAACAACATGAAAATTTGGTAACAGTAAACGCTGAGTTCCTCAGCTGCACCAGCCACATTTAAGTGCTCCAGGAGACCTCACCTTCCCAGATGCTCCTGGGAGGGTGCTGGCCTGGGCCGGGCATCAGTTCACATCCTGCCTCCTCCACCTGTGGGCCTCGGGGCAGCTGAGAGATCCAGTCCTGTCAGCACCTGGCACTGCCCTGGGAGCGGGGCACATGGATGGTGAAGATGGACACAGGGAGGTTCCCTGGCAAGATTGGGTGCTGCCCCCAAGTCAGGTGGGATCTGGGGATGAGCGCGGCAGCATCAAGGTCATGCTGGGGCACAGAGGGTGGGGGACCTCGTCGCCTGCTGACCTTGGAGGCCCGGGGGGTTCTAATCCCCTAACACCCTGTTTTCTGTGTGTAACGCCAGGTCACGGCCCCATCACCACGGTGAAGCACATGGCGCCCCAGCCAGTGCTGCCTGAGGCACCTGTAGGGGCAGGCCTTGACCGTGACCTGGGCTGCTGTGTCCTTCTGAGTGGGGCGGCCTCCGGGGGCCAGGAAGGAGCTGCACCTGGTGGGCCAGGGGCTCTCAGGTGCAGAGACCCCACCCCGGGTCACCTTTGACTGGGTGTCTCTACTCTCTCCAAGGTCGGTTTGGCCCCTCCCTGGTCCAGGGCCTTCTGGCCGTGAGCTTGACAGCCAACGCCCTCTTCACCTCGGCCTACCTGTACCAGAGCCTGCGCTGACCGCGGGCCCGGCCTCCTGCACTGGAGAGCCAGAGAGTCCGGTGCATGCTGCTGCCACTGCCGCCTGCCCGCCCTCCTCCGGGCCCTGCCCGCCGGACTGAGTTCTTCCTCAGAATGCCTTCTCCTCACGTAACGGAATGGACTGCGGGGCTGAGGGGCGTGTGAGGCCACCCTCCGCCCGTCCATCTTGCTGACATCAGTTGTGTTTGGTGCTGCCACGGAGCCATGGTCCCCGGGGGCTGCACTGTCCAGCCCTGCCCGTGGGGCCGCCACCACCACTGTACCTGCAGCAGGAGCCCTGCCTGGGCCCTGCTCCATGGGCCACGGGCACATCTCCGTACCGTGTGCCCCATCCCCCGGGGGAGGCAGGAGGCATGGCCCCTGTGTCCCCTGTCCTCTACCGGCCCCTTGAGGATGAGCTTCCTCTGCCCCCACCTTACCCCTTCCTGCTAGTGCCGGGCCAGGCCTGCCCTCTGGCTCTCCCGTGGGCACCTCAGAATTCCTGGGTTTCCGGCTCCGCTGGGCCTGCAGGACTCGTGTGAGCATCTTGCCCCAAACTCCCTTCTGCCCACGTGCACCTGTTTTAGGACCTCTGGTGGCCTCTCGGGCAGTAGCCCGAACCCTGAGAACACCGCCCAGGGTCCCTCCCGTGCTGCCCACAGGCCTTGCTCAACCCTCAGCTGGTTGCGCTGTGGGACTGCCCAGGGCAGCCTGCAGGTGACAGATGAGACCGCACCCCGCCGCCATGAACCCGGCTCCTTCCCACGGCTGAGACCCTCGTCCTCCTCTCATTCTGCTGACACCACGGGCCGAGGGTGGCCTCTAGTCTTAGGCCACCTTGGCTGGCTTCGTTCCCTCTGTCCCTGCCATCGCCCTTCGGCCACTACTGCACGATTGCTCCCCCTCACCCAGGTCCGGGGTCCTGCCCACCCCTGAAGGGGGGAGGGACCTCGGGATGGCACAGTGACCCTCCATGATGCTGTGGCTGTCAGACCCCCAGTCCCCGCTGTCCTGGGCCTTGGGCAGAGGGTGGGGCAGCACGTGTGTATGTGACTGCACATGTACGTGCATGTGATCGTGCAGGCATTGGTGCTGCTTGGGGAGGCAGTGGCTGCCTGGATGAATTCTGCAACACGTGATAGGGGCTCAGGCAGGAGGAGGGGTCTTCGCTCCACCATTCAGGGATAAAGTTTAATTTTATTTTTCTACACATTTCTGCCAGGGGAGGCATTTTGCTGGGAAGCAGGATGCCCCCATCCTCCCAGCCAGGGAGGGTTAGTTTTTTTAAGCTTTGGGTGCTTTTTTTAGTAATTTTTTTACCACGTGGGGAAGGAGATTGCTCTGGCTTCCCTCTCCCTTCCCCCACTCACGTCCTGAGAGCTACTGTCTCCTGCCCTGACCCGCCCCGAACACAGGGGTCGGGGACCTGAGGGCCACGCCAGGACCTGAGTCCAGCCACCGAGACGGTTCCAACTCGGAGGTGTCTCGGCCTCCATTTGTGCAGGGGGCATGTGTCAACGTCTTAATTTTATTTTCTGCCTAATAAAGCCAAACTCCATTCTAAATGCACTTCCTCTCTGGCTCTGAGGAAGCCCCCCACGGAGCCCACCCCACCCCCAAGCCTGGCCCCTCCCAGGCCCTGGGTCCCAGCTCCTCACCAAGACCTGGAGAGGCTGGTGGGGAGGGGTTTACTTAATGTTTTCCTTCAAACAAAAAAACCCAGTCTTATTTTTACAAAAGCAAAAAAAATCACAAAGATACCAGCCTCTGAACTGTTCTTGTCTTTATTCTGCAGCTCGGCCCTGAGGACCCCACGGTGGGGGCCGAGCCCACTGAGGTGGAAGTGATGTCACATTTGTTCAGCGCGGAGCTCTGGGGTCCCCTCCCCATGGTGAGGGTGGCAGGTGCAGTGTGACTGTGTCCCCAGAAAGACTCTGAACAGGAGACCAGAGGGAACAGGAGGGCCAGGGTCCCAGAACAGCATGAGGGAGGCAGGAAGTGCTCACTGTCTCAGAAAGGCTCGGCCCCTGGCCTGGCCTCAGGGCTGCAGGGCGGTCACAGGCCTTGTTTTCTCCTGAGCCCACTTGAATGGCCTGGGGGGCAGCAGCTGGGCTCCCCATCAGCCCCTCCAGGGCAGACCCCCAGGCCTCATGGCTGGGCCAAGGTCAGCTGGCCCAGGCAGCAGGCACAGACAGGGAGGGCACTGGGGAGGCCCTCAGAGGTGAAGAGGCAGTTGTCGCTGAGCCTGCAACCCTTGGGGGGGCAAGGGGCAGCCTCTGGGGTGAGCCTGGGCCTGCGTTTCTGTGGGCTTTTGGTTAACAAGTCCAGGACCGCCATCCAGGGCCAAGGTGGGATCATTAACCCGCAGCACGATGCAGGAGCCCAGTACACGTGAGGGGCTCATTCTGGCCCAGCACCCAGGGGGAGGATGGCTGGTGGGTGGTCGACTCTAAACCTGACCTTGAGTTAGATGGTAAAGGGCAGGGCCAAGCTGCCTGCAGGGGGCGCCACAAACACCCGAGTTCACTGACCACAGGGTCCTTGCGATGTCCCCTGAGGCCTAAACACCTGGGGCCACAGGAAGCCCACTCTCCCAGTGACTGCAAAGCCCCCTGGTCCATCTCCCCCTGGCCCTGCGCTGTAAGAGGGAACCAAGTGGGGGGCAGAGATGGCTCCTTACTCGACCCGGACGGAACCAGGTGAAGCTGCAGCCTAGCCTGGCGTGTTTGTCCTGCCCCTCAAGCCAAATAAGGACCATTCATAAGGCTAGGAGCTCAGAGGGGAGACGGCCGGTTTCCCAGGACAAGCCCTGAGGTTTGGGGGGAACCTCCAGCTGTCAGAGCTGCTCTTACTCCCGATAAAGCACATTTGATGTCACAGATGGCGCCCCTGGGGCAGAAACCGTGCGGCCTTCCCTATGGGCTTTGAGTTTATGGAAACCAATCGGGGTGCCATCCCGGGGTTCATCTGCCTGGCTCAGCGCGTGAAATAGCCCAACTGCTCAGGCTGAGAGTGTGGGTGCGGATTTATTGGGGTCCTTTCATTGTGCCCCTCAATGGAAAGGTGGAAACCGTTCCCTGGTGTTTGGGTGGGCTTATTTTGAAACAAAGTTTGTTTTTTGGAGAAGCAAGAAAGATCCGAGTGGAAGATCTCCAAGTGTAGCAGCATTTCCTGTGGTGGGGTCCCCTACGTAATGGAATTCATATTGGTGCTTAGCATCATGCATGGAAATAAATGGGTAAATATGAAGGGGCTTCCTTGGCCTGAGGCATCTTAGAACCAGGCGCCTGTGTGACAGGCGGGCATGTTGCTGAGCCACTTGGTGCCTTTCAAAGAAAAAAAATTTTAATCCTCACCCAAGGGTATGTTTTCACTGACCTTTAGAGAGAGAGAGGAAGAGAGAGGAGATGGGAGAGAAACATTGATGTGATAGAGAAACATCATCAGTTGCCTTCCATACAGGCCCCAACTGGGGGCCAAACCCAAAACCTAGGCATGTGCCCTGACCGGGAATCGAACCACAACCTTTTGGTGCACGGGACAACGCTCCAGCCAGCTGAGCCACCGGACCAGGGCTGGGTGCCTTTTATACAAACATCTCTACGTGAATCTAACTCTTCTAATACTAGTGGGTATTTCCAAACTATCAGCTCAATTACACGCATTAGCACAGCTCCAGGCTGCACGGCCCCAGCCTGCAGGTCTCATTCCCAGAACATCCCCGGGAGCTGCTGTGGTAGACCGGTCGCAGGAGGAGTTACGGGGCTGAGGTAAAGCGATGGTTTTCTGAAGTTGATTTTAAGACCGCGTCGTGCAGAGCAGCCACCCCAGGGCAGAGCTCTGTGGCCTCGGGTCTTCCCTGCAGCTGCTGAGACGTCTGCTAGGCTGGGATTTTGTCTGCAGATTTGGTTTTTGTTTTTTATTCAGAGACACTAACAACTTGTCGTGAACTTGCAGCGTCCAGATTCATTGTGGTTGGGCACAGGGACAAGGGTTCTCTATTTTGACCTTATAAACAGTAAAGGGGGGAGCTGGCTTCAATATGTCATTGTCATTTGGCCCCTTCACTCAAACCCGCCCAGCTATGCGCTGCATTCGCTGATGGCTCTACAAAAGGGCCTGTGTCAATGTCCCCGCGCGACCCCTGGCTCCCCCCAGCGGGATAGGAGAGACCAAGTTAGCACGTCCCTATCTTGCTTCTGTGCTGAGTAACCAGCCAGCAGCCTGAAGTTGCCTTCAAACATGTTTTATCAAACTTCACCCACCACACACAAACTTATTAGAATGTATGCAATTAGCATGGATTTCCTAAATATTACCCTATGTAAAAACAAGAGCTTATTGTAGAGTTTCATTAATAGTAATATCAGTTCCCTCATTGGGACAGATGCTGTAATAATGTGAGAGGGTAGCAATGGGGGAACCAGATGTGGGGCACACAGGAACTCTGCCCTTTTCTGTAAATCTAAATCTGTGCTGAAATAAAAGCTTATTGCAAAGCAACTTACAGAATCAGGGGTCCTGACTGATACAACACTGCTTCATGGGACAGTTGCTTTATTTTTATATTATTATTATTGATTGGTTTTAGAGACAGGAAGGGAGGGAGGAAGAGAGAGTGATTGTTGTTCCACCCACTCAAGCATCTGACTGATTTCTGTATGTGCCCTGATCAGGGATCGAACCCCCAACCTTGGCACATCAGGACAGTGCTGCAACCGACTGAGCACCCAGCAGGGCTGTCTTGAAATGCTCAATACTTTTTGAACAGGGAGCCCCACATGTTCATCTTGACTGCGCCTCTCAGTTACATAGCCCGTCCTGCCCCGAAGGAACTCACACTCGACTGTTGGCAAAAATTACTCCTGGCAGCCAGGACGGGAGAGTGAAGGCAGGATTCCCTGCATCCTGTGCACAGGATACATGTCCACAGCACTTACAGTTTGTAACACGTATGTGTGTATGTATGTTTCCAGAGCACACGAGATGTGCAGGGAAAAGCATGTGCATGTGGAGCCGCAGCCGGAACTCGGCCTCTACAAGTCAGTTACTGACCCGCTGGCGTGGGATGAACTGATTACTCCACTGAGGCTCCGTTTCCTCCCGGAAAAACAGGACCTGTGTTCTCCCTCTCAGGGCTGCTGTAAGGTTCAACGAGTCGCTAGCGTAAAGGTGCTTGGTGTGAGACCCCTGTAACAGGCGCTCGTTACATAGTGACTGTGATGGGGGGTTGGGGGTCGCAGGCCAGCGCACAGAGGCTAACCGCACCCCCTGATTTAAACCCCAGCTCAGCCACTGCCTGCGTCAAGTCGGACCCTTTAGTCCTCCTGAGCCTGGTGTCATCACCTATGAAATAGGGATGGTGGAGAGTTAATTCCGTAGCCGTGGCTGCAGGACCACAGAACCTGGAGGGGCCCCTGCAGACGAACAGTGTGGCTCCTGGGGCTCCTAGAGGAACAGTCACCCCCTCCGCTTTCCGCCCCCCGCCTCAGCACCTCCACCTCCTCTCTCAGCTGATGAACTTGCTTCCTAATTGACTGGGGGAAAAATACAAAACTCGGGAGAGAAGTCCACATGCTCTCACGTTATCGCTACCAGCCCAGGGACAGCTGTCCAAGGCCGCCCCCTCTCCCAGCACTGACAACACCCCTCGCCTCCACGCCCCGCCCTCATCTTGGCCCCTCCCCTCCAGGTCCGCCCCCTCACCTTAAGGCCCCGCCCTCCCTCAAGGCCCCGCCCTTCCAGGCCCCGCCCCTCCATGCACCGACCCTCTCTTGGGCCCCGCCCTTCTCCCTCAGGCCCCGCCCCTCTGCTAGGTCTCGGCGCCCCCCCCACCGGCTTTCGGCCCAGCTGTGTCCTCCCGTCTGAAGATGTCTTTAGGGCATATGGCGTTCACTGAACAACTCTTTCAGCTTTTTGAAGGGTTTGAAACCAAAATATCAAGTTGAGGCTCCGCTTTCTCTCCCTCCTTCTCCCCGTCATGCCTTCTCTTTCCTTAATTCAATTCAAGAGGCAGGTGAGCAGGGACAGGCGCTGCCGCCGCTGCCCGGTGGCCAGGTGTGGGTGCGGGATGCCCAGCCAGGTAAGGAGAAGCCACGCAGGAGGGCGCCTGGGGGTGGGGGCTTCAGAGCGTGGGGTGGGGTGAGGATGGAGGGGTGTCCGTAGCCCAGAGGAAGGCGACATAGGGGAGAGGGCACAGCCACGTGTGGGTGCGGAGGGCCAGGAGGGGAGGAGGGCGCTGGGGTCTGGTGATGCGGCTCCACCGGATCGCCGTACAGGTGCTGTGAACGGGCGTGTTCTTTCTTGCTTATTTCTGTATCATCTGACCCCCTCCCCCACACACACACACTCACACTCACACACACTCCGCACCCTCCCCGCACACCCCCTCCTCCCCCACACACACCATACCCTCC